ATAATTATGAAAAATTAGAAAAATTAATGAAAAAGAATTCCAGATTTTCTCAAAACAAATTGCAGAAATTTTAACCAAAATTGAAATGAAAACTATAGAATCCGAAGCACATTAAATAATTTAGTTCCTGAGCTAGATTCACACTAATGTAATAATTTTTGAGCTGTTGAAAAAGCGGAAGTGCAAATAATTTTCTGTCGCACATACTTGCAAACACTAACTCAGATCGACCTTCAACCCGCTGTAATGCTTAATTCCTAAACGGCAATTCACTGATGATTTCCTTTTCACTAGGCATTCAAACTTCTCAATTTATCGAGATATAAACACTACGCGTGATTATTTTTTTGAAGCACTTGCAAAACACCACAGCAGAAGAATGATCTGTTATTTTTTAAACACTGAAAAAACAAATTTGATGATTCACTTCTTTCACATTATCTTGGATTTATCACAAAACGATGATTTGAAGAGCTGAATTAAATTTTCCATTGAGGTTTCAGGCTGCAGGAAACTATCCTTACCGGCTTAATTGTCATAATAAAAGCACAAGGAAAAGACGGAGCACTGTAGATGCGTAGTTATCCTATATTGAAGAGGAAGTGATCTGATTGCGTCGTAAGCTAATGTGTTGACTTCGTAAATAAAATTTGGCAGTAGAAGCGAGTTTTACTTCCATTTTTATTTCCAATTGATATTTGTGGCCACAATCACTTGGCACTCTAGTCGTGCCTTTCCACAGAGGATTTACATTTTTGATATTGCTGAGATAGAAAGCAAGCCAGCGAAATTACATCTTAACAAAGTAGAGAGCAAAAGCTGAAGTGCGTAGTTATAAAAGATGGAAGCACGCGAAGAGAAAAGTTTTGGTTTACAAGGACAGTTTCAGTTCCCAATGATTACGCCATCAGAGCTGCGCCGATCATAGAGTAATCTAGAAATGACGCAATGCAAAGAAGTTATTACGATTTTAGGAATAGAGAGAAGAAGTTCCCAAATTGTTTATAGTTTAAAATCTATAGAGGTTTAGTGAAATTCATTTAGATATTTCCTTATCATGAATTTTTATCTTACATAATATTTTTATCTTACATTTTTTTTCTTTTTTTTTTATGTAAGATATAACAAAATATGATAGCTGTTTCAAAATATAATTGATGACCTCAAAATTAAGATTCTAAATTTGGTAATCTTCCCCTAAATTCATCTCTTCTCACAGGTTCCAGACTTTTCTATCTTATGTAACGTTTTAATGCAGATGCCTCTCGTCCAATCAAACTAATTCTAAACCAAAACTGTGAACTGAAACTTCAGCTTTTGCTCTCTACTGTGCTAAGACGTAATTTCGCTGGCTTGCTTGCTATCTCAACAATATCAAAAATGTAAATCTTCTGTGGAAAGGCACGACTAGAGTGCCAAGTGATTGTGGCCACAAATATCGATTGGAAATAAAAATGGAATTAAAACTGCTTCGACTGCCAAGTTCTTTAAATACTACGCAATCAAAATTCTTCTTCAGTATGGGTCTAATCACGCATCTACAGTGTTCCGTCATTTCCTTTGCTTTTATTATGACATATATAAGTGATGAATAAATATATTACAACAATGAATGAAAAGTATCTTGTTATTGATATTCTTTACACCTTGTTTACATGTAGAAAATCAGTGTCGCTTTAGGTTTAGGTTTCAGAATTATCCCGCTTCTGATTTCTATTAGCTTCTTCTTTACTTAAATTAATAACTCATAAAACGTTTTTTAAAGGCAAACAAACATTGTTTAAAAGATAAATCGTACTCGTAAATTAATAGGCCTACACGTAACTTATTCTTAAACGTTTATATCACAAAAGTCATTTTTACTGCATTGTACCTATTGTACATTCATCCTAAATCTCTTTTAAAAGTCAAAAATAGAAAGACATCCAAAATTAGCTGTCGCCGTTTCTCAGTAGATAATCTGTTTAACACCAATAAATTATTTGTATTCATGCTTGCTGTTGGGAAGTCTGATATCTGTCCTTATAAGTGAATGGTCTATTAATGAACTGTATAGTGCACAAAGTGCCGATCCTAGACCCCGCTCACGTTAAAATTAAAATTGGCCTCCGTTTTTTGCAAAAATATAATACTTTTAATAATCATTTCGCCGCCCTTCAATTTGGACGTCCATTTGCTGTGCACCATCTTGCCCTCCGCTTCCGTTAGGATCGGCCCTGCGTGCACATATCCCTCAAAACCTACGCTAATTTCAATTGCATAATATGTTTTTAAGTTAAAAAGATCCTTCGGCAAGTCTTAAAATTTCTTTAATATATAAGTAACTCAAGAATTACGATCAAAATTAGGAAATGTTAAAGAATCTGAAATTTATAGATTTATTTCATATTTGTAAAATACTTAGAATACCTTGAAGTTAGAAAACTTAATCATAGAATTTCACGTCGCGGTAAAATTACTACCTTATTTCTCTGAACGGCAGGCCTTATATATGAGTTAGAATATTTTTTGCATTGTCTTTGAAAAACTATATAACCTGCATTTTGCATGTACATTTAAAAGTCCATAAATCCAGGTATAAAGTATCAGAATCATTTTTACATTAAAATCAAGAAAATGTCTCTTTCTCATGGCAGTTTTGGGAAATTTAAGGTTTCTTGAAGAAATCCTTGCCTATATACATGAATGCATTTGCAGTTTCGCATATCTTCCAAAAAACGGTAACTGTCAACTAAGTTATAAATTTAATCGAAAAAATATGATTAAGGTTATATTACTGCTATATTAAACAAAGCATTGAGCTTGTCTTTCTTTTTCCAGCAGTGAATCTGATTGCCTTGCAGAATTTTCACTTCGAATCTGCTCATATGCGCCAATCATACAACTCTCAACATTTCCATTATGTCTACTCCATAAAGTTGGAAAAATTGCGAGCAGGACACCATTTTTCTTATTATATGACTCCCAAGAACTTTTTTGTTGCTTAACTAGAGTTTAATTATAACAAAATATATGAATCCTAGGACTTAACATCTTCGTGGATGATTTTCTGAGAAAAGAGATTCGTACTACATTAGACAAGAAAAAAGGAACCGACTATATAACTTACAATACGGATGAAAAAACAATTCTCCGAGGCTTTAACTACTCTGTCGTTGGAGCAGAACTCTTGATCACTTTGTGATTTCCTGGAACTGAAAAGAGAGAGAACAGTTGAGAAAGTGTTTCCAGTTATCTTGCTCTATTACTGTCATCTGCTTAGATTCCGTCTGCTTCCCTATTGATGAAATAAATTCAATAGGGTTTATTTGATCATTCAGTAGTTTTGCCCCCGGAGTACCTAAATGTATGACTGCCGTTAGGGCCGGCTCTAGGTTTTTTCACACTTTTTTTATTACTGTTCGGGCTCTAAATTCCGCTGCATGGTACCTCTCTAAATTCTAAAATGTTTGCAGCCTTTAAATTCTGCTGCTCAATGTCTTTTCTAAATTCTAAAAATTTTACTATCTCTAAACTCTGTTACCCGGTGCTTAGGTAAATTCTAAAATTTTTGGTGCCCCTATATTCTGCGGCTCGTTGAGGCTTCACCGTTCAGCCGGATGGCTCTCGTCGTCCATAGTTACCGTACCCTGAAATAGGAAAATGGGAACACAATAATATGATATTCATATCTTTGAAACATAAGAATGAGCACACTTTACCAACCAGAACCTTCCAACCTTTAAATCGTATTTAACAGATACAATAACATCCGATGAACGCAAAGCGTTTTAAAGCAATTCTAAATGAAGTGTATTTAATATGCTGGATAGTTTTACACCTATTTTCTAAATCATCATAATCTGGCCATACGTACAGAAATATATAAACATTACAGCAATTAATTTTAGTATTTAAAAAAATTTTAATAATTTTAATGCACCGGAACTTCATTAATACAGCATATGAACATTTGCTTTTTTATCTCATTTCTTTTAAAACGTAAATTACAAGTATCAATGAAATGCTCAGATCTGGATTAAGCAAAATACGCTTAGAGTGTCAAGGAAAAGGGGCATCATAAAGAGGTCCTTAGGTACACAAAGGGAGCACCAGAAAAATTTTCCATTGCCGATTTTACCATGGAATATATGGTGCAGGTAGGCCAAGATAGGGGAAAAGGCGTAAATTTATGCTGGGGCACCAAAATCTTTTAAGCGCTTAGGGTATGTAAAAGTTTTAATCTAGTCCCATAAATACTATACAACTAAACCGACCAAACTTCAGTGATTCAAAAACAAGGAATTCTGCATCTTAAATTATTTGAATTGAATAATCTTTATTTTTTAGCATTGTGGGAAGGAAGGGTGAAGAAGAATTGGGCAATTTTCTAGAGCTTAAAATGATGTTCGACATCTTTTGAAGTGCAATAGTAAGTACTGAACATATTTTTATGAAATAATATGAAGTTCTTTATATGTAGAAAAGATTCAGATTGCAGATTTGATTAAATTATTGTCACTGACGAATTCTTTATTCTTCACGTATATGCTATGCGACCTGTGACTCAGTTTCTGTACTTGACAGGTTTTCTAATATATATAATTCATCCAAGTATTCTAAATTACCTTTGTACATATTTCAAACAACTTGAAACAGCTTTTTCTTGAATATTTAGCATCGTCTTTCAGATCTTTAGTACGTGTTTTTGGCAGTAGAAGCGCTTTCAAAAATTAAATTTCTCATGTCCAGTTTCCGGACGTAAAGTATTTCGAAAATTACATTTGGGTGTTCTCAGTGAGGATATATCCTAAACAATGACAATTTATGGTAACCCTAATTTAAATGTTTTTAAGGACACATTAATAAAAACTTGCATTTACGTAAATTTAAAGGCAGTGGCAGACAAGGCCGACTGGATGTCTTGTTTCCAGTTGGCCTTGACCAGAGAGAAAGAGTACAGCAACGTTACGATTTCAATGTTTCTCCGCTAGAGGGCTATCTCTTTGTTCTCTTCTGCCCCGGCGTTCAAAATTAATAAGCAACTGAGAAAGAAGTGCCGGCGATAAGATATGTCAATATTTGTAAAATTGACTCCATAATCGTTCTGTAAACAGCTTTTTTCATTATATAGGCCTTGCCATATTTGTTTATTTTCTTATCTCACTACATAGAAATATTTACTTTGTATATAAATCTTTCCTATCTTGCTTTGTAAACGAATGACGGTAATTTTGTATATTAATCGGTAATTTTGTTTTCACCGTAGATTAGTAATTCTGATTAGTTTTCAAATTAGCCTTTTCTCCGATGATAAAATGAAGCTTTCTTAAACTGTTTATACAAGTTTTTATCTATTAATATGAATTTCGTAAACTATCTACGTGCGCTTTCACTACCAGCAAGACTAGATATAAAAGTGTGGAAATGCATACAGTGCAAATAATGTTGTTATAAAATTATTAATTTCATATGTGTTTAATATTATTATTTTCATTACCTAATACTAATCATTCTGTTAAAAGACCTTCTCACTTCAAAAGTCTCCAAAAAAGGTTATATTTTTGTTTCATAAACAGACAAATTGCGTGACTGAATTTTTAATTACAAATTTATTAACTGCAGCATTTAGATTCGAATTTTTAATTTTAAATCGTACAAAATTAAAGTTCTAGAGTCAAGTGAGGCTGACCAATCTCAAGAGAAAAAGAAGTATTTTTATAATCATGAAAATTTATGTCTCTTCTTAAAAAATTTTTAATGAAGCTGTGTAAAAAAAAAAAATAATTGCATGTGAAATAAAAGAGAAAGTTTTATTTCTGACTGATTTTGTAACTTTTACCAGCTAAAAAGAACAAATATTACATACTCTTTTTCTTTCTCTATCTAGTTTTAACAGAAGATTAAATTGAAAAATAATTATTCTTAATAATAAAAATAATAATAAAACCTTTAGTTCTAAAGTTCAGAACACATTCTCTGAAATTAATATACATTTTTTCCATTTCCCTATTATTGTTCCAAAATATCTTTATGTCTTCAATATAATGCTGATTTAAATTTTTAAGTTGGTTTAATTCTTCTTAAATGTATGTTTATATGTGTGAGGAATGTTATTCCTTTAAGTAACTTTTTTTTTTTTTTTTTTTTAATTTTCAGAATTTTTTCCTTACATGTCAGATTAAATGGAGGATGTATAGCTGGAAATTCGTACAGAAATGTCTTCTTTTCACCATAGTGTGTGTCTGTGTACTTTTTGCATATTGTTCTTATACAGGTTTGTGACACTAAAAATTTTGATATACATTTAATTTTTTGAAATCTTGTTATGAATGAGTAAAATAAAATATAAAAAAATACACAAGACTAGAGCTCATGTATATGAAACTTGTAAACATTCATATATATATATATTAATTACATGTTCATATGTATGAACTCAGTAAATCAAGTCGCATATAATTATATATAATATGTGAACTCCATATATTATTCATATAAACTGATATACACATACTTAACTTATTCTTGAGAAATGTGTGGTTTTTATATTTATATATATATATATATACATGATAAAAAGTATAGAATTAGCTCTTAAATCTTCCCTTTCCTAAATTTATTTGAAATTCAAGGTTGAAGAATCTTCTGTATTAGATGAAGTTTGCATATTTAATAGTTTTTTGGGTATATGAGGATTTAAAAAAATATAGCTCTGTTCTTTAGTACCTTAATTTAGTTCTAAGCAGGCAGTTCCAGCTATAATTTTTTAATAAGAAAGAGAATTTTTAAGAAATAATTTCAGCATTGTGGATGGGAAGGCTCTGCAATTCCTTGATTTTATTTTTAAGCCACTAATTACTTGAGTAAGTAACTATTCAGTAGTTCATTGTCTAACTCCTGTATCTCTCAAAATCATATTTTAGTTAATGTGGGTATAATTTTAAACAAAAGTTACAGTTTTGCATACAGAGATAATAATCAGAATATAAATAAAGAAAATCCATTAACAAGTTAAATGTAATTGCAAAATTTTGAACACTTAAATTAAAGGTCATCTATATTTATATATAAGTAGCATACTGTGCTAAATTTCAAAGTTTGTATGTTTCAATTTTTAAGGTGACAGCTATGGTTCAGATGAAGAGTATCCAACAAATTTCGATTATGAATGTATCAGAAATGGTTCTGAAGAAATTTCTCATAGTAAGTTATGTTTATTATTTGAATTATCTGAGAGTTTGTGTGAATATTCTTTTAAAAGAAGTTCTAGAATTATAGAACATGCATCAAACAATTTGAAGTAGCAAGATATATTTCAAGCAAGAAGCATACTTTTGTTCATATAATTTTGATTGTGGTAAAATTTTTCTAAACATAAGAAATGCCTCTCTTAGTTTGTTATTTCAACCAGTGCCATAGCAAGGTCTTGTGGCACCTGGTGAGAAGTTTTAATCATCTCCATTTCCACCAAAATATAAAATTAAATTTAGTGAGGAAGTAATAGTTTTATTCAGTTGGCTAAGTAAAGAGGGCATAGTGTTAATTGTTTTGTAAACAATTTTTAATAAATGAAAAAAACAGTAAAATGCAGTAAAATGTTATTTTATTAATGAGCCTATTTAATATTCAATGTAAGAAATCTTTTAGCATAGTGATAGTACCTAGTGTATAGATTTGCTGTTATTATAATACAATTTAATTAAAGCTCGGTTGTTTACAAGTTTCATTCTGTGGTCTCTAATCCAACAAACTTTACATTAACATGATACTTAGTCTCTTCTTTCTAATTTTTTGTTAGCAAATTTTGAAATTTTTTCATCAGATTGATACTTTAGCTACACTATTTTCAGTAGTCAAAATGACTAAGCTGGAGAGTCTAGTTTAAACTCCTCCCATATGATACAGAAGAAATATATTAAATTACGAACAATCTTAATCCTAAACTGAGATTGGGAACAGTGTTGAAAAGTTCATGTTCATCCACAAACTACAAGAATCTTAAGGAAACTCAACCAAGAGGTTCTTCTTTCTGGAACATTGGTGGCTTTTAGAAATCTTCTTAGGCGTGAAATTTCTGTAAGGATACCATCTGCAGACAGCTCAACCGATCTGATATATTCCATGCCTTCAGAGTGTGCATTGATTTTTTGTTGAAAACCCTGAATGCACTCTAACTTTGACCTTTTCAGTTCATAAATCAAAGTCTGCAGCTTTCTCTCCAGGTGTAATTTCCTTCTTCCTGACAGTTCTTTTTATTACAAAAATGCCCATTTCAGCACTTGCGTCTTTTGCATATTGCAGCGCTTCCTCAACAAAGTAATTTATTTTGTCTTTTAGACCCTTTAGGCTTATCATCTTGATAACAGACTTCTCAAAGCTTATTCTAAGAATCTATGAGATTTTCTAAGGCATTATTCCATAAACTAGAAAAGCATAAAAATAAGAAATAATCTCACGATGCAAACAACAGAGTTTGAGCTGTTCCTCTGGTTTCTATCATTTCCAAAGCATCACACAATTCATCAATGGCATTAACAATCTTCTTAATGCACTTGAAAAACACAAAATTAACAGCTTTGTATTGAGCACTCCATCTTGTTTCTGAAAGTTGCTTAACTGTGGCTTCAACATTTTTCTGAAGGATCTGTGCAATGGAAGCTGAGAAACACATGTGCGAACTCGCTGGTGTTCACCAAAAAATTACAGGTAATGGAACTGTTGCAAAAGTGTATGTTCCACACAGATTTAGAGAGTCGTTTGTGCATGCTGAAACAGTGCTTTAAGATTAAATTCGCAAATCTTTGCTTGAACTGAATCAACTCCATCCGAAGCATTGTTGTAGCCTTGTCCTTGGCACATTGTTATAGCTAGGTGGAGTTCAATAATCTTTAAAATATCTTCTGTTATGTCAATGCCTTTCTTCTCAATTAGCTGAAAAAAAGAAAAACACCTAGAGATGACTCTCTGTGTAAAAATAACAAATTATTTTACTAATTTGATTTATGTCCGTGATGTCAGGCATACTGTCAAAGATGATGCTAAAATAGTTTGAATTTTTAATATCGGCAAAAATCTTTAAACAGTTCCATCCAGAACTGAGATAAACTAATTTTATGTGGTGCGAGTAGTTTGTTTCCATCTTACCCAATGATGATTTAGTTAAATTTATTTTATGTGTGGGAGTAGCTCATTTTCATCTTACCCAATGATGATTGAGTTGACTTTTCTAACTTGATCAAGTGCTGTTTTAATATAGGATCATGATCATACTTTGATAGAAGTTCAATCAGCTGTTGGAAATTTTCTTTATTCTCGATTAGCATGTCCTTCATGCGGCCGAGGAGTGGAAGATTTTTGTTTAGCCAAAAGCATAGTGACATCTTGAAGTCTTTTTACAAGATCTTTTCTTTTTTTCTCTTTCAGCAACTGTCTAGTTAATTGGATGTATTGTTCTATTGGCAATTACACTTGTTCTTAAAATTTTCCAATTTTTGAAACAGCTTCATATTCTGAGGATTTAAGGCTGTGGACTTTTAGTTTTCACCATCATAAGTTTAAACCAAACTTGAAAGCCAGTTACGGTTAATCTTTGGATTATGGTAACTCGGCGATTTTTTTGGCGAAAATTTGGCGACCAACCCTGCTACAGCAACTTGCTAGTTTTTGTTTGGACGCCATTTTGTTTTCATGAAGTAAAGGCATTTTTTTCCAACAATCTGCTAGCCAAATTAAGCTTATGCTAGAACTTTTATGGAACGAAAGTGCTTAATCTTAGGTGCGAAATTGGGATAAAGTGCAGAATCGCAAACTGCTTGCCGCGTTTTTAAGAATTGCACATACACGGTAACCATGTACACGTTGACCAATTTTCACTTAAAAAAACATCCCACAATTGCACAAAAAGGGCATTGTGCACTCTTCCCTTTATCCATGTACACTGCTAAAGTCCTAGCTAGTAACCTTTATTGCCTTACCAAAATGTTGCCAAACTACCTGTTACCATATTCCAAAGATTAGCCCCCATTACACATGTATATATACTATATTACTCAAACATGCATCTATACCAAAGAGCCTACAAAGCCCATACAATGGCTTTCAATTGAGCATGCCATCAGTTTTCTCATGGCTGAGTGATAGAGAACCAATTAGACATCAACTGCCAGTTGACATCTTTCTTAGTCTTATCCCGTTGTCTCTTGAATGAAACAAAATGATCCAGATTTGTTTTGAAACACTTCACTTCCTTTTTAAAAATAAATCAGTTCTTAAATTATTTGTAACGGGATGACCAATCAGAGATGTCAGAAAACAAAATATTGCTATTAGTTTCTTCTTCATCTGCTCTTTCTTATCCTCCTCCTTCTTCCTCTTTGTCTAATGTACTATCTTCAAATTTATTTTCTTCTTCATTATAATTATCTCAGAAGTTATCAGTTTTTTTGTGAATGTCTTTTCTAATTTGTTCTTCACTTTCATAACTTCTATCAGGTTTTTCCCTAATTCTAATTTCATATTCAGATTGAAAAAATTTCGCAGTCTCTTCTTCCACACTTGATGCTGAGACGGGAGGTTTAACAAGTTATGGCATCAAGCTGGCCGACAATTGGACTTCCAAAGTTTTGGCCTTTTTTTTTTTTTTTTTTTTTTTTTTGGTATTTTTCCGATATTCACTTGCGACATATTTAGATGGTATTGTGATAATATGTGTGTCTTTAATTATTCTTATTTACATGCACACAGAGTCCCCAGGTAATGCTATTATTGGCTTTCGCTTCTCTTTCATTATCACCAAAAAGTGTGGCAGGTGCGTAACAGAAAAGCACCTTTTTTCCTTGCTTTGGTGTACGTGGCACCGACACTTCATGGTCATGTGTCTGAAATATGGAAAATAGCTATGCACAGTTAAACACGCTGGAGATAAAAAGGTTCCCCCATAGAGTGTTGCCATTGCTTGCTTTTAAATCGCTGAGTTTGTTAATCAAAAATTCGTTAAAGTTACAAAATATAAAAGTGATAATAAAAGAAATTCCAAATTTCAAATTTGGGGTTTCAGATGCCCATATTCGCAGTAGGATTATGCCATTCAAAATTGGATGGCTCTGGGTACCGTTGTTTTATCACAATGTGAGAAACATACATACATTTATGCAGATTCTTCATTATTTAATTTCTTCAAATAGAATACTGGGGATAGAATTTGGTGGCAACAATTTGAAAAGTGATACAGCCTTTTAAAGTTTTCAATGCAAAATCGCAAAACGTAAACAATAGTCCTTCAGGGACAAAGCCCCTTTGGACTAAAAACTACACATTTTGTTTCACAAAAAGTGTTTAGTTTTTAAAACTTTACAATTAAGCAATTTATTAGGGCTGTCTAAAAGATGTACATATACAAACAGACATTTTGTAAAACGCGAGAAATGCCATTTCCTCCGAAATGTATTTTTTCACAGTACTTTCTCTATATCATAGTATTGAGTGTGAAAGTAATATGATAATGGATATATTTTTTTATTAAACTCAAAACTGTGCTTACCAAAATCAGTATTATAGAAGGAAAGGGGAAGAATGATTCAATGAATGAAGCAAAGTATTATATAATAGCACTAAAACATTTTCACCATCTTGCAGCTGGATATTTTTCATAGTGTAGATCTTATTAATTTCTAAATAATAAATTGCAGCATGACAATATATTGCTTATAATGTGGTATAATCAGCACAGAAATGTTTTGGGCAGTGTGATGAGGAGATATTGTCCATTCGCTTGTAGAGTGATCCTAAAGTAGGGATGCACAACCTTTTTAGCAGAAGGGCCACTAATAGAAATGACTTGGTTATTGAGGCTCAATAGCATATCGAAAAAATTTTTGGGGGGTTTAATGCAATAAGTCGCTTAATTTTCAATTCAGTCATGTACCATATCAAATTAAATTGATTTGGAAACCATTATGTATGTATATAAGCAAAGAGAGCTGGTGTTTCCCTTGCATGTGCTACTGGGGCCAAAAACACTTATTTCAGCTTGGAAAAAAAATACAGTTTATGCTTGTGCATGATAATTTAATACTTGTATATGAATATTTTAATAAAAATGTGTACAAGTTAGCCATAGTTAAATACATTAGTGTGATGGTTGAAATTGAATTTTATCTACAATTTTTGATATATTTGGTTGAAAGTTAGTTGTTGATATTCTTAAGACAGATTGCAAGTGTTGATCTGTCAGTTTATTTCTTAATTTTGACTTATTTAGATTCATAAGAAAAAATGATTGTTCACTTCAGTGCAAATTGCCCCTTTGGACTAAGTAATACTTATAACAGCAAGTTTTACACTAAATATTGGGTTTTAACAAAAATTTCCCACCACCACAAATCTGCTCAAACAATTGTGTGCAACAGAGCGCTATGGCCAGCCTATTGATATTGATGAGTCCCACCTGCAAGAACTTGTGGAAGAAGACCAGTATGCTTCAAGAGCTTCCTAAGGAGTTCACATAATGCGACTAATTTACATTGAAAAAAAAGAGAGGGACTGTTGTATATCTCGTGTTCAATTGACAAAATTCAAATTGTGTTTTTTATGTCTCGAAAGCATGATTTTGGATATGTATTAGATTTATATATAGCATCATTCTAACATGGGTATTTTGACACAAAATCAGACTTTTTCTGAAATGACATGCCGATTTTTTCCCATATTTCTATTCTACGACTCAAACTATGCTTAAATATTAAATTTTGTAAAATTTGGTGTGAAATTTATGGAAAAATTCAAAAATTTATCTCGGCATATTTTTTTTCAGTTTTCGCCAAGAATAATTTACTTGGCAAACTTCTTAATTTATAGCAACCTATTTTCCTTTTCTTTTTTTCATTGTAAACGAGCCGAAGAAAGTCATTGTTCATACTTTCAAATAATTTTAACAAAGTGCATATTATTGGAGTTATTATCGCTCAAAAAAAAAAAAAATGCCAAATTTCAAAATGCTCTAATATGTAATTTCATATATATCTTAGAAAATTTTGAATTAAGAACTCTAATTTTTTGCAGGCGCCTGCAAAAGTGTAATTTGACTAACAAAAAGATCATGCTTTTTATTTGGTCGGTTTCCCATAGTATTATCCACAAAGAGTATCTGGAGAAAGGTAAATCTCTTGAAAGTAAGGTGTACAGCGAGATGCTAGTCCATGTTGACGCTGCTGTCAAGGAAAAACATCAAACTGAGTTTGAATGCAAAAAGATAATGCTCCATCAAGATAATGCAAGACTACATGTGTCTGCATTCACTGGCTGAGCTCTATACAGACTCAAATGAGATCTTTCGCCACACCCACCATATAACTCCAACATTGCTCCTTCGGACTTCTATAATTTTTCACACCTGCAGCTACATCTTGCTGATGTTATCTTCCATTCTGCGCAGGACGTCCGAAATGAAATTGATCTGTTTTTGGACTCTCTGCCGCCAAGTTTCTGGGCTGAAGGCTTTGAAAAACATTTTGAATTTAAATGCGAAACTCAGAGTTAAAACTAAAGTGCCTTTAATATTTTACATGTCATATATAGTTAATTTCCTGGAAGTAAATCTAGATAATTATCTAGAAAATGCTCTAAGATAGCATTGTCGGTCATTAATAAAAAAGTAGAATTTTAGAAGTTCTGATTTTAATTTATAATATAATTTTTATTTACTATATATTAAATCTAGTATTGTATGTTTCTTTTTCTACCTTGATGTTGATTATTTTGCACTCTTAATGTACCAAATTCTTGGAATATATTTGACCTTTATATTTATGTATGTTTCTTTAAATACTTTTTAGTTACCCATATCTGCTTCGAAGAACCTCATGTATTCTTCGTAGAGACATCAAAGTCAACTATTTTGACTCCACGTCAAGCTTGTGCAATTGAATCGACTGCAAGACATAATCCTTCTCTTGAAGTATTGGTTCTTATGACAGGCACAGATCCTATAAAGTTCGATGACCCATTGATGAAAACTCTTATTACTGTTCCTAACATAAAAATAATTCAAATCAATATAGAAGTTTTATTCCATGGTTCACCTCTCTTTGATTGGTATAGAGCTAAGAAGTGGGAAAAAAGCAAATGGAAGGTAAAATTTATATATATTTATTTTAATTTATTTCATGTAATTTAATTAATAAATGGTGTTATGTCGTGTTCATTATTTTCTTAGATTAAAATTTAATTTAAAATTAATTTACTAATTTTGGTACTTTACCTTCAGCTATGTGCAAGCAGTAAATCACCAAATAGTGTTTTAGTCACCATTATTGACATTGCAACTATTTCCGATCATTTTCTACTCAGATTTCTAGCAATTGATGCTTGATTATTTTACCAAGATTCTAATACACTTAATTACAATGAAAATTTGGAAGTTGTCTACAATAAAGGAAAAGGCAATACATTTTTTTCCCCTTAAGCATTTTGACTACTAAAGCAGTTTTTACAAAGTACCATAACATAAAAATATTTTTCATAGGTGGCATTTGATGACAGTGCAGTGTTTCTGTGTCATAAAAAAAAAAGTTCAACTTTTTTTAACTTAAAACTAGGTTTCAAAAGAGAAGCAGTATTAAAAGAATATGATTCAAATAATATATATTGAATTTTTTTCATGTACAAGATTCATATATGGTTGGAGCGAAAAAATGACTTCGGTGAAAATATTTTCATTTAATTTTTAGAATGTATTTTTCCAACTGGTGTAGGTATATCAGTTCCTAAATTTTGATGCTCTGTCGTGAAAGCAAAAAAATTCAGTTTGCTACGTAATTTTCATGACTTTTCTTCTGTGCACATAAATGCAAGCAGTTTCTCAAAAAAATTTTTACAAAGGCATCCATCTGCTGAAAGATAGCCCTGTTATCCTTGTCCTTATCAATTAACCAACCGTCTATGTGCTTCAAATAATATATAGAACATTTCTGTACTAGATTGTCAAATACCAGTTGAACTATCAAAAGTTGTGTTCTCTTAGATTACAAAAATCTTTTCTGAAAACTGCATACCTCTCTGCTAAAAAAATGAGCAGTCTTCTTAATTTTCTTGCTGAGTATGATCAAGAAAGCAAAGAAATTTTTAGCTTATTATTTCAGATGTAGGATCATATGTATCCCATGAAACTTAGAGTTGAAATTTATGGAATAAAGGCATTATAGATCCCCCCAAAGTCGGAAGTTCAAATAAGATGATTTATGATGCTTTGGGGGCTCACCAGCAGTCAAACAGTAAAAGTCGCTGAACACTGGTAATTGGTCCGAGGTTTGAGTCCCGTGAATGCACTGGCTGCATGGGCATTTTCATGGTTTTCCCCATGTGTAATGTGTGTACAAGCCAGTATCCCTTAGAAAGTTCTCCACAAAGGCAGATAACCTTCGAGGCTTTGCTGTAATCTCGTAAAAACAAACCGTGATGCTTTGGAACCGATATGAAATTTTTGCCCTAGCCATAAACCCAAAAATTTGAGAGATTTACTAAAAAAAAAAATACTTTGAGCAATTCAAAGAAGAGCGCATTCACTCAAACTATCGTACTGCTTCTTGATAATGCTCAATGCTTCTTGATAATACACTGCTGTTTAAATTCAAACTCTCATTTAGTCATTGGTTATTAAAAAAAGCATCCTTTATTATAATTTACTGGCACCTAATGTCTTAACCTTTTCCTTTCTTTGCAAATGTTGCTGCCTGAAAAATTATTCATTAAAATAAAGCAAAATGTAAAATGTGACATTAGCTTGATGGGCAAGCAATAAACTTATGTAGTAGAAGTGTACAAAAAATTTTGCTGAGTTATGATAAATGCCTGAATGAGGAATAGGATTATGTGAGAAAATATAGTAACAAATCAAAAGTGTAATGGGGATAAATTTTTAAAAATCTCAGTCCATATTTCTTTGTAGCTAAATAGGTTGTAATTTTTAAGTGTAATGTATCATAGTTTTTTTCATCTTTTATTACATAATAATAAATAATTTCCTTGTATAGTTAACCAAACCAACAAATAAAATAAATTATATTTTTAAAATTTATCATTTTCATTGTTATTATTATTAGCCCAAACAGACGTTAGTCCAGAAGGATTATTAGCCTCGAAACAGCATTGTGCATTGAATCACTATAAACAGCTGTATCACTTTTCAGTTGTTACCACTAAATTTTATTGCTAAAGAAACTAAATAATGAAAAATCTACACGAGAGTATGTATGTGTCTTGCATCGTAAAAAAGCAATGGTACCTAGAAACATCAAATTTTGAATAACATAATCCTCCACTTGAACATGGGCATCTGTAGGCCAAAATTAGGAATTTCTAATTTATTTTATTATCTATTTCATATTTTGTAAAACTTCAATAAATTTTTGATTAAAAAAACTCAACAGTTTCAAAGCGAGCAGTTGAACACTCTAGGGAATGAAACATTTTTATCTCCAATACACAAGACTCTTGGAAATTCTAAAGATACGCCGTTTTTAAATATTTTAGCACAATGTGGCGTTAGCCCAAATGCTTTAAAAATGTGTCTGTAAATGAAGAAAAACACCCGTCTGGGTGTAATATAAAATGTAAAGCTTTCAGATTTTATTATTATTTTTTTAGGCAAGCCATTTAAGTGATGCATTAAGATTTTTTCTTGTATGGAAGTATGGAGGCATGTACTTAGACACGGACATTGTTACTTTTCAATCCATGGAGCATTTAAAAAATGTTGCTATTACAGAGGACTGGAATAGAGTTGCATCTGGTATACTGATTTTTGATAAAGGGCATGACCTTTTAAAAAACTGCATGTTTGATTTTGCTGCAAACTATGATCCTTTTGATTTTGTGAGTAATGGACCTGGTGTTCTTACTCATAACATAAAAGCTTTCTGTGATATAAACAATATTGGTAAAGTTTCAGGTGCAAATTGCAATGTTGATATTCTCCCTCCAGAAGCTGCTTTTCCAATACCATGTGGTAAATGGGAAGAATATTTTATTCCTTCATTTGTAAAAAATGTTGCTGATAAATTTAATTCCAGTTATTTAATCCATGTATGGAATAAATTCAGCAAGAATCTTCAACTGCGTATAGGAACAAATAGTCTGTATGAACTCGCTGTTAAACAACACTGTCCTATTGTGTACAAATATGCTGAGCAGCTAGGTTATATGTAATAGAATCTCCGTCCGTACACAGGGTATCCAGTTGAAAATTATTCAGAATAATGAAAATATTCTGACAAATTATTATGTATTTTTCTGGTTTATGCCATTACAGAAAAGCTCTCACTCCTTTTTCTTACTTATAGTTGCAGAAAGAGGTTCACTAACTGTAGATGAATTCATTAACAATTTTGTCATTATAGGATGAGATTTTTTTGTGTTGTGTCCATTAGAGTGCAGTACAGAAGACATCCTCCAAAAGGTGTTTATAAGATCAGGTGTTTAAGAAATTCTGACAATCAATGGCCACTCAAAAAGCTTTATTGATCATTAGATTGGATTTATATGGACTTGTTTTGGCACTTACATGTTATCCCATCGAATGTGAAACTTATCAAGCAGGGTGATTTAGTGCCAGTAATGGATAAGTGTCATTTTATATAACACACTTGTAATCTCAGCACTTTCATTTGATGTAACCCACATTGATTCTTGATAGGCCAGCTTTTGTTTTTTTATGAGCAAGGATATAAATTACTGTTACTGCTGTATTTTTTCCTTGCATTTTGAATAAAATGAATTCAGAGACTGTAGAATCACATTTGTGACCAAACTCTGCTTCATTGACAGCTGGTTGAAGGAATTAACATCTCTTGAAAGGTAGAAAAAAAGAGCTGGCTACTATTTCTGACATTCTGACAGAAGAAAATCAAGGGCCTAACAGAATAATAGAAATCAACAAAAGCCTTTACGAAGGGTAAAAATGGAGCAGATCAAATACTTCCTCAGCAGTGGGTATTTGGTAGACTGTGCAGAGAAACTGATGTTTTATTGTAAGTTGCAGACAGAAGTGCAGCTGAGAATTCTGCATTGAACAATTGGCACAACCTTGGTGGTATCTGTGTCTAATTTCATAGTTCTGTACTAGCAAACTTTCACGGTTGACGAGATAATACATAAATACTCTTTTTAAACACATTATTTGTGAGATCAACCTGAACAAATGTTATTATCCGAAAGATTCTGCAACTATTGTTACTCCAAACATTCTTTACTTGGGCTGAGGTTATCTGCATTATTAGCTGGATTATTAGCTAGCATAACATTGTGAACAGTGGTGGTTCCAGTGAAATAACTTGTTTTGGCACAGTGAAATAACTTAGTTATAGGTAAGAGAAAACTTTACTGAGAATTTTCCGTGATATAAATTTGTTGTTTTGGATATTTTTCATCTGAAAACCCTGTATTCTCATAATTATATCTAGAAAATTTGTTAAAAATGGCTTATTAAAGTAAAAAGTTATTTTACACTTTACTGTGATTATCCAGCCAGCCGTCCATATAAAGAAAAACTAGTTTTCTATTGTATATAAATAAAAATGGTTTACGTGATGATGAACTGTTAATCAATGCATGTTATCATTTATGTACATAATCAGCTATTAGTATATAATGGATTTCCAGAAATAGTCATATATATTGCTCATTTGTAAACTTGTCATGCTGCAGTTGCAACATGAGATAAATTGCTGCGATAATAACATATGGTAAATTGAATTTAACATATTGGTTATTTTAAACATGTATGTACACTGCAGGAAAAAAAATGGGATAGTTCCTATATCTCTCGTTCTACTGGTCCGATTGACGAAATTCAAATTGTGTTTTTCATATCTCGAAAGCGCAACTGATATAGCAATGTTCTGACAGGCATTTTGACACAAAATTGGACTTTTTCTGAAATAACGTGCCATTTTTATACCATACTTCGATTTTACGACTTAAATTATGCCTAGATATTAAATTTTGTGCGAAATTTACGGAGAAATTCAAACATTTATCTTGGCAAAATTTTTTTCAGTTTGGCCAAGAATAATTCACTTGGCGAACATCTTTAATATATGGCAACCAATTTTCCTTTCCCTTCCATTGTGCCAGAGCGGGAAAAAAAGTACCTCGTTCCTACCTTTTTACATTGTGTATGAACGGGGGAAAGTTACATCATTTCTACTTTCAAATAATTGTAGCAGTCTAAACCACATCTGATGTTTTATTGCTTTCAACAAATATGCCAAATTTCAAAAGGCACCAATATATAAATTCACGTATATCTTCGGAAATTTTGAATAAAAAATTGTAATTTTTTGCAGGTATGCTTAGAAATACGTCTATTTTAAGATGATGGTAAAAGTTTTATAATTATAATTCAATTTTTTTTTGAAGAATTTATACATATTATTTAAAAACGCAAATTTTAAAAATAAATCGTAAAAAATGGGTGAATTTCATTTGGAATGGACCTGAGTTTCGAAATGTGAAAGGAAGAACCAAATAAGTTTATAAAAAAAGAGGGATTAATAAATATATACCAAAATCGATTGACATTGAGAAGCAAAAAGTTTAAGAACTAATTTTTTAAAATCTACTTGTGCAATTTTTACAAAACTTGGTAATTTGAGTCATAGAATTGAAATATGGAAAAAAGTTGCTATGTTATTTCCGAAAAAGTCTGATTTTGCGTCAAAAAAAACTTATATTAGAACAATGCTATATATAAATATAATACATATCATAAGTCACATGAAAAGTCCAAGTTAAATTTTGTCAATCGACCAAGTAGAAAGGGAGATATAGAACTGTCTCCACACCTTTCTCTCTCTCTTTTTTTTTTTCCCACAGTATACATAATGGCATAAATTGTAGTTCCTTGGGTTGTAATGTATAAATTACTTTGAAGAATAGTCTTGCATGTTGATAATTGTAAACATGTTTGGGTTGTAATATGTGTTATGGTACAAATTTCACTGTTTGGGTTGTGATATATAAATTGCTTTGAGAAAGAGTCTTCACAATTTGAGAATTTGTAAAAATATTTATGATAAATTGTTGTTTGGGATATAAATTGTTTAAAAAAATAGAAATGCATCTTGATTTGGTATCTTGTGATATTTGCATTTGCATGTATGTGATAAATTACTCCAAGTTATATTTGTAAAACATGCTCAGGTTGTAATATATGTGTGGTACACTGCTTCAAGAAATAGTCAAATTTAAAATTTATTTCTAAAGTTATTATTTATTCTAAAGTGAGTTCAAGTTATTGGACATTTTAAAATGAATTTTCCATTATTATGAAAATAATAATTAGTGAGTACTGAGAGCCTGATCTGTTGTAATTCAGAGCTTCTTATGCTCTCTTACAGGAAACATATCATATTAATAAATATAAATATTCAGTTCAATACTTTTTGTCAAAAGGAGGTTAATAGTTATTTCTTTGGATATCATGTTTGATTTGCACTGGTGATAATGAAATCAAATAAATCTTTCATTCTGAAAGATTAATTTATGCGATTATTATACATTTAAAGTTATTATGAAAAGTTTTAGTGTTTATTATTCTTCAGAACAGGAAATGATCCTTACTTATTAAATTACTTTGTAAAACTTAATGTTTTTTAATCCCTTATAGCTATTTTATTTTCCCAAATTCAATTTTAAAAATAGATAACATTGTGGCCCCCAGATAAAAACTCCTGAAAATTTCTATCCGTGGATCTTAATTAAAATATACAGATATGTTTACAAAAAGTAGTAGTATAGTTTATGTGATTTGCAATATCTAGTAGCAGTGAAAATTTTATGGGCACTGACGATCATAAAATTCTTAGAACTACAGTAAAAGTTTGACGATCCCAAATAGTTTAGGAAATGCTGAATTCAGGCTATGTAAGAATTCTGAATAATATGTAGAAAATGCAATTCTTGATTGAAAAGCCAAATGAATGGAAGAAAAAATTTCCAATTTAAAACTATAAAAAGAGTAACTTTATTTGTTATCGACTTATGTTATGAGAGATTTTAAAAGAAAAAAGGGCAACTTCTATTGACCATGAAAATTGGTCAAAGGGATTGTCAAAGTTGCGCCAGTCATTCCGGCAGAAGTTTGAAGAACAGATTACAAGTTACGAAAGATATAAAAAAATTACTTGTCATGTCATTACTTTATTAAGCATGGATATAATTTTTCACATTGCACAACCAGTATTTATCAATTTTCACATAGTCACTTCTTGATGTCCGGGTTCTGTAATTTTGAAAATACTCTACTGCATGCTGTTTCATTGAAATCAAGTCACAAATTTTAATCTTTTTTTTTTTTCAAAATGCAATTGAAAAACAAATAAGTAGCAGTTAACTTACTTTGTATAAATTAACTAGCATTAAAAAAAAATTAAACTGTCTTATTGTGAATTAATCAGGTTAAACCTGATAAGCCAAGGCCAAAAATCTTATGATAGGTATTGTATCAAGCTTTATTATTCGTGCTACATTACAGTGTTTTTCCACAGTTTTTTGTTTTATTATATCCATGCTTAGAATGACAAAGCTGCAGATCTCGTATTGCTTAATTTTTGAAAGAGCTTCTAAAATTTGAAAGTATTCCAGTTACTTGAGCTTTCTTGATAGTTGAATGCTGGATAGTCAGGCTTTTACTGTACTATGCTGATTATTTGTATCCAAGAATTTAGCTATGGTAGTAGTAGATTAGTGCTTAATATAAAGAACTGATATATTTTTAATATTTACTTTTAACTTATGTAGAGGCAATAGTTATGACAAAAGATAAGTGTATTTTTATATAAATATATCAAGCAAGAGTATGAAGATGTATCATGAATCTTCTTGAAAAAAAAAAATAGCTTCAGAATGATTGATTATGTAAAATATAAAAGGTAAAACGATGTAAAATATAAAAGGTAAAATATAAAAGGCAGCCATCGCATTAATTTAAATTGAACTTCTTTGATACTAAAATCTATGATTTTGTTTCTGAAACTTGTTTATGATTGTAAAAATAAAAATAATACAAAAAATAATAAAACTTAAAAATAATATAAACCAATTTTTGAAACTTTTATTCAAATTCTTAATCTGTCATTTTTTAAGTCATTCATGTGCAGTTATTTGTATTATAGTTTGTAGAGCCATTAGATTTGTCAAATCAGGAAATATGAAAAGTATATGCAGAAATTATAAAATTAAATGGGATGCAGAAATTATAAAATTAAAATATGAAACCATAATTTATGAAATAAAGAGCAATTATGATCTAAAGGGTATCAACATTAGAAAAAAAAGAGGAGCTTAATATTTATTTGTTTACTTTATTAAACATTTCTTTCAACGTGCGCATGCGTAAAGCATATGCTGCCGCATAGTCGAAATTAGAAAATTGCAACCAGAAAACTATTTGATGTGTATTCGTGATATTTATAATGACGAGGAATTTGATTTAAATCATATCAAAGACGGAGTACAACGAGATGAAATACTGCATTTAGTAAGGAATTATAAGCCGAATAAAATAAAAACATCTGCTCTGAAGATAAGGATAGTGCTGACAGATCAACTTCCAGTTTATTGCGCGCCGTGATGTCCCCCCCCCCCGGCAGAGCAATGTGAAATTGATAAACAGATTTCGGAATGGTTAGAGAAACAAATCACCTCTCTGTCACTCTGTTCATGCTTTTATCCATTTTTTGCAGCAATTACACTTTTTGTTTGATGGACATCCAAATATGCTTTCGTTTTGTAGATCCTTCGGCAGCTCCAGAATCGGAAATTCTTTTTGACATAATTCCCACTTACGTTTATAAAATTGCTCTAACAGTCTGCAAAAAATAATAAGCCGCATCCAATTAGAAGATTAACAATGCCATCTGCAACATTAACTGAAATAAATAATTTTAGCTTAGCTTATACCGTCCGTTATACATTAAACACGCATGCGCAGAAAGTTTGTAGTTTTGATGTCCGGATTATAGATCATTCCGGATTAAAGACTTTTGACTGTATTTATAAATCACTTCAAATTTATATTTGCCAGTATTAGCAGTAAGTCAGTGTTAGCCAGTGTGGCCTCTGTAACTGCAACCTTCAGTTCTAGGAATTAGTGTGCCGATGTAGTTATTATCTCACTTATTATAGAGCATTATGCCATCTAATTTACTTCATTTAAAATGTGCTGCAGAATGTTTTATGTTCCTTTCTCATTATCTTCAAAGGATTTTTTTAGTTTATCAAATGTCTTGTCCTGCTTTTGTGATTATGTACTGTATCATTTGCAGGGTCCTGATTTTGATGACCTAAAAATTCACTGAAAATGCACTTAAAATGGAAAACGCCCTTAAAAAATACAAAAATAAATTACACATTTGAGTTTAAAAATAGCATGCTGAATAACGATTACTAAAGTTAAACAACAAGAATCAGTGTAAGGTCTAGTTTTGAAGGCTTCGTTTTACGCTTCTGCATCTGAAGCAGATGGCTCTATATTTAAATCTTTGAAACTAGTCCTACAAATGTATGAATATTACATTGATATTTACTGCTTAAACTCCTCTAATAAAAAATGACACAACTGGCAAACACTGACAAATGGATTAAAATCGAAACAATTACACATACCTGTTGCTCTACTTTTTTTTAGCCCAAAGGGTGTTAGCCCAGAAGGGCTATTAATTTCATTTTGCGTTGAAAATTTTAAATGTTTGTTCACTTTTCAAATTGTTGCACCAAATATTATCGCCCTGTGTAATATTTAAAGAAATTAAATAATGAAGCATATGTATAAATGTATGTATGTTTCTTGCATTGATAAAACAACAGTACCTAGAGCCATAAAATTTTAAATAACGTAATATTCCACTGAATATGGGCATTTGGAATCCCTAATTTGAAATTTGTTTTATTATCAATTTCATATTTTGTAACTCTACAATGAATTTTTGATTAACAAATTCAACGATTTCAAAGCGAGAAATGGCAAAACTGTAAGGGAAAAAAAAAGCTTTTTATTGTTATTATTTTCCCTGAAATTTCAACCTTATACAGGTGTGTTACATTGCAATAAGTAGGCTTTCGTCAGTATATAAGTTTTTATATTTTTGAGTTCTGTCATCAGCAGTTATTACTTGAAAAAAAATTGCATCCCTTATTCCTTATTGTTGACTCTTCTTCAGTTTTAAAAGCGTCTACATCTCCTGTTAAGAAGAGGGATATTTTCCTGCAAAGTTTGGATTCCACACTTTTTATTTAAAACAGTGT